ATCAGTAGAAGCCTTATGTTGCAGTAATTATTCGATTTCTTCTTCGAATGCAAAGTTTCTTGTACTTAATTATGACCTAATAAATCTGTTGAACTCCACATTTGTTTTGGTTCTGTCAAGTTCTATTGCTTTAGGATTGAACAATTTTGAAGGAGCAGAAGGGCGAAGTGACGCTTTTTATAAGAAAATCTATAGAAAAAATGCTAAGAAAACACTTTATTGGGTACCGACAGAGTCAGGAATTTGGCAAAATAGGGATATATACATTAATAACGTTAATTTTCTAGATGAGCTGATGAAAGAATTAAAGCTTTAGTCTTTCGGGAACTTGGAGTGTTTCAGTTTGAAGACCTGGAATAGTTCTTCTTGAGCATGCTCGTTAAGCGAAGCAATAATATCGTGTTTCTCCTTTTCCAATTTGGCGATCTTGTCGTAAGCCGCCTTAGCTTCTGGTGAAAGTGTGGCTGCCTGAAATAGTAGCTCTTGTTCTGGTAGCGAGTGACAACAAGAAAGAACTTTTATACCTTGTCCGCAACCTCCTTATGGCGATCCTCAATATGTTTAGTGAACTCGTTATACTCCTTAAGGTTGTCACCAGTGAGAACCTAGAAAAAAAATGAGTTTTTTTCAAAATCTCTCTTCTGGTCCCTTCTCTGATTACCTTCTGTGCTAGCTCGTTCATCTTCTTGTGCTTTTCATCAACTGGGATCGTCTTGTCGTTGATGATTTTACGGAACTGTTCCTGGACTTCTTCTGGCGCCTTCCTTACAGGCGGTGGCAGAAGTGCATCCTTGCTGATCTTTCTACGAATTTCGGTTGGGAGTGTTTCCACCTACAGCGGCAGGTTCTATTAAGGTTTTGAAAAAGCTCAATTTGCAAAATCTAGCTTGTTATCATATTTGACTGCGAAAAAATAGTAGAAAAGCTGACCAGATCCCTGGTGAGGCCTTGCTCATGATAGCACTTATCGCCTTCCTTCCAGTTCTTCCAAATATCTTTCAGCTTTGCTTGAGCATCAGCTGGAAGATCATTGACGAAGTGTGGGAGCCCACATTCCGGAGGAGGATGATGTGCGAACTGAAAACAATATAAACTTATGTTTTGGAGTTTTCTTTCTTGTTAGAGAGGTCCAAAGATCTGGAGGGTCTGAAAAACTTCTATCATTCATGAGTGCTTTCAATCATGTATCTCAATCATGTCAAGCACGGCCTCCATTACCCTCACACAGGAGCATTCCCTGTGTGGTCTTCTACATTTCCGATTTTTGCATGTTTGGNTGTGCTGTCACTCTGCATTTCTTCTGTCTTTTCTCCCTTTTCACTCAGTTACAGTCTTTTTCAATGCAAATCGTCTTTTGAACGTGTTTACATAAACATATAACATAGTAGATCCATCAACATTCGGTTAGTAAAGGCGTCCTCATATTTTTCATACTCGGTGTCTCTATGCAGTTTGCTAGAAAAAAGTTGAAATCTAGCCCTCATCAAACCGTCTTTTGAGTCAATACGCTTATTTGTGAGGCAGATCCGATCTGAAAAAAAAAACTAAGAATCTCGTCTAAACGTTTCCGGAGAACTTTTCAGTCTTCTTCGTATTCCTCGCTTTGTTTGTGGCAGTTATGCATAATCGACGTCGAGCCCGAATGCAACAGATTCTTCTCAACAGAATGAGGAAACGACTCCGAGTGGAAGGCAAATTACAGTAATCAGTAGAAGCCTTATGTTGCAGTAATTATTCGATTTCTTCTTCGAATGCAAAGTTTCTTGTACTTAATTATGACCTAATAAATCTGTTGAACTCCACATTTGTTTTGGTTCTGTCAAGTTCTATTGCTTTAGGATTGAACAATTTTGAAGGAGCAGAAGGGCGAAGTGACGCTTTTGTAAGAAAATCTATGAAAAAAAAATGCTAAGAAAAGACTTTATTGAGTACCGATAGAGTCAGGAATTTGGCAAAATAGGGATATATACATTAATAACGTTAATTTTCTAGATGAGCTGATGAAAGAATTAAAGCTTTAGTCTTTCGGGAACTTGGAGTGTTTCAGTTTGAAGACCTGGAATAGTTCTTCTTGAGCATGCTCGTTAAGCGAAGCAATAATATCGTGTTTCTCCTTTTCCAATTTGGCGATCTTGTCGTAAGCCGCCTTAGCTTCTGGTGAAAGTGTGGCTGCCTGAAATAGTAGCTCTTGTTCTGGTAGCGAGTGACAACAAGAAAGAACTTTTATACCTTGTCCGCAACCTCCTTATGGCGATCCTCAATATGTTTAGTGAACTCGTTATACTCCTTAAGGTTGTCACCAGTGAGAACCTAGAAAAAAAAATGAGTTTTTT